AAAATGCTTTTAACGGAAAACTTTTCCGTTAAAAGCATTTCCGGAAAATCATGCCAGCGTAGATGTAGCCTACATGGCCTAGCCACTGGGGGTGGGACAAAGCCACTTTGTGTTATCAAGCATCCGAGCCAATTGGCTCTCACCAGTATTTGGGGCCTACAATTCTTCCTTCAGTTTCAATGGGAATTTTTTACATTTAGCTTCCTGGGAACAAGATTGGCCACTTTATGGCATGCACATACATTAATAGCGGCAATTTAGATGACCGCATAGGGAGTACGCTTATAAAGCTTGTGGAGGATACCGAGCTGGGAAGGGTTGCAAGTGCTTTGGAGGAGAAGGTCATAATTCAAACTGATCTGGACAAAGTAGAGAAATGGTCAGAGGTAAACAGGATGAAGTTTAATAAGGACAAATGCAAAGTGCTCCACTTAGGAAGGAACAATCAATTTCACACACACAGAATAGGAAGTGACTGTCTAGGAAGGAATATCGTGGAAAGGGAACTAGGGGTCATAGTGGACCACAAGTTAACTATGAGTCAAGAGTGTGAGACTATTGCCAAAAAAAAAAAAAAAGCAAATGTGATTCTGGGAGACCTTAACAGGAGTGTTGTGAGCAAGACAGGAGACGTAATTCTCCCGCTCTGTGTTGATTAGGTCACAGTTGGAATATTGGGTCCAGTTCTGGGCACCACGTTTCAAGCTAGAAGTGGAGACATTGGAGAGGGTGCAAAGAAAAGCAACAAAAATGATTAAAGGGCTAGAAATCATGAGCCATGAGAGAAGACTGAAGGAACTGGGCTTGTTCAGTTTGGGAAAGAGAAGACTGAAAGGGGACATAATAGCGATTTTCAAGTACCTAAAAGGGTGTTCCAAAGAGAAGGCAGAAAAAATGTGGCACCTCAGATGATAGGAGAAGATGCAATGGGCTTAAATTGCAGCAAGGGAGGTTTAGGTTGGACATTAGGAAAAACTTCCTACCTGTCAGGGTGGTGAAACACTGGAATAAATTGCCTAGGGAGATTGTGGAATCTCCATCACTGGAGATATTTAAGAGCAGGTTAAATACCTGTCATGGATAATCTAGATGGTGTTTGGTCCAACTGTGAGGGGAGGAGATTGGATTTGATGGCCTCTCAAGGCCTCTTCCAGGCCTAGCGTTCTGTGATTCTATGACTATCGACACTTGTCTCCTCAGGTAACTTGGATCACAAAACCCCAACAACCACTTGTTCTTGAAACATGCAATTTGCGATGTTGCTCATCCATTAACTAAGCATCGGGTTCACCGTCACAACCAGGTTCAGGAAAGCTTTGTATCGCAGAGGTTATAGGATTGATCAGAAACCGATGGCTGTGCAGGAAAGGGGCAATTGACCGATTGCCACCGTTGCGTTTCAGATTGAGGGAGCTCGGTACAGTCGCTCCCCGACTTACGGCCACCTCCACTTACGACCATTTGCACTTACGACCAAAGCGGTCATAAGTGCGGAGCCGAGTTACGAACGGCGATCCACGCTTATGAACAGCGCGGTCGCCATGTAACTCTATGGGATCCGAGTTGCGAACAGTTCGAGTTACGGACCAAGTGTTGGTCCGTAACTCGGCCGTAACTTGGAGAGCGGCTGTATAGGCCTCCAAAAAAGCCATGCCGAGATCGGACCCAATCTGGAAGCAATGCTAGGCTTACACCAAGCAGTCGCTGTTTGCCCTGTGCTCCTAGCCCTTCCTGTTGATTTATTTATTATCTCCCCCTGCATTATTTGTCATAATCTCCGCCGAGTCAGGCCAATTAATCATGGCTCAGAAAAAATGAGATTTCTCACAAGGAGATTATCTGTCTCTGACAAACGAGGGATAATTCAGTTAGCTTCCTCTTCGAAACATTATTAACCGGTTTGGGTAAATTAGCCCACTTTGTAATGTGGCTATAATTTGGGAAGATTGAACATGTCAGTCAGCGCATAAAATCCTGTTAATGGAACATTCCTGTTGAGATTTTATTGTGGGGGGTTGATTCTTTTCTGGAGGGAATGTCATTGGTATGAACCCAACTGGGCTCTAAAGAAATTACCCATAAAAACACCAGTTCTAAAAAGCAAACGTCATCACTTTCCTGAATAGCGTACTACTCTTGAATTGGGGTCAAAACCTGTAGAATTTAACTGACCATAATATTTATCAATTTTTGTACCATCCTATAGAGTGCACACATATCTATATGTACACACATTTATTACAGTGTATAATCTCTCCATCTCTGGGATTCCTCTGGGACTTGTCGCCCATTTCGCCAACGCCAAGTAGAAGAACAGGAAGGCGGGATTGGCCAAAGCCAGGTTTCTCTGTAAACTCTGCGCTGGGGAGGCTACCCAGGAGAGATTTAAATGCTGCCCAATTGATTAGCAGAGCACCCCCAGTGCCCCCTGCTGGCAGCATGCGCTTTTGCTGGTGGTGCACATTCTCCCATACTTTGGGTGCACATAACACTATTGATTCCACACAAGGATGGAAACATGTAGGGTAGGTCTACACTAACCCCCTGGGAGGCTAATGAGGGCGACCGAAATTGCAAATGAAGCGCGGGATTTAACAGGTTTAACATTGGTTTAACAGGTAATTCGAAGGAAGGGGTTTATTTCGGAATCGCCCTTCTCCGCTGCGTGTAGACGCGGGCAGTTCTTCAGGGCTAGTCAATTTCCAAAATGGCATCCGGACAGGAACATGCTAATGAAGCGCGGGATATTTAAATCCCACGCTTCATTTGCAATTTCGGTCGCCCTCATTAGCCTCCCTAGTTCGAACTAGGGAGCTAGTGTAGACGTACCCTTAGAGGGACTATTGCATGTGGTGCTATATCTATTCAGTTCTAGAGGATGGGTTGAAAACCTGCTGAAATAGAATTAATCAGGAAACAACATTTCAGCAGGTTTTCAACCCATTACCAGACACTAGCTTTTCACACGGTAAAGGGGGTGAGTTTATTTTTTAAAAAGTCCTTATTTGTAAAAGTTTGCTTTTTAAATGCAACTCAATACCAACCTAGCGGGTAGAAAAGCCATAGATTGTCCTGTGTTGTTAGTGTGTTTGAGAAACACGCGCCTGCTGTTTTTAGAAGATATCACGCCCAGTAGTTCAAGCCCTAAAGAGCGGCACGTTAGGTTTTATAGACCTAATATGAATAGAAATGTTTTCATGGGTGGTTCATAATTAAGTGATAACAAAGGGCTTGATTCTGCGTTCAGTTACCTCCAGTTACCTGGAGTCGCTGCACTGAGGTCACCGGAATTGCTACGGGATGCAAGTGGCGGCAGTGGGAGGAGAAAGAGGCCCGTTTTTTATTGACCTATTCCCCCACTTTGCAGGAAAATAGATGTCTGTATTAGCACGACACAAGGCCCTGCTGTCTTACTAGAGGAGCAGTGTTGAAATGACGCTGAAGCGAGCGGAGAGCGTTGCATGATTCCTTAGCTCTCCTTCTTGGTGCTTTCTCCAAGCCCAGGTGGATCCAAGCCAAAGTCTCCCTCCGCCCAGCCCTCCACCAGCTTGCAGGTTTTAGAGCAGCCGGCTCGTTTTTCAGAAAATGACTCGTCTAGGACCAGATTCAAGGATGTTAACATGGAGGCTTCTCTTGTGCCAGCCTTGCTCCAGGAGAAATTAAAACAGCCCCCAAAGGGAATGCTGCCTTGAGGAACCCTCCTAGCCATTTGATCTGGCCTGCGACTGGCCCAGCTGGCGGCTCCCTCCCCCTGCCAAGGGCATCTGGCACCTAGAGGGAGCCACCAGCTGTTTTGAATAGTGAATCATTCAAAACACTGCCCCGCCCCCAGAGTTCTGATTGGCCTGGGGGTCGAGGTGCATGTGAAGTCTCCTCCCCCGCCAGCGGCACATGGCGCCTAGACGGAACCGTCCCTTCCCCCGAGGCCCCGCCCCTTCCAGGGGGCGGAGCCAGCCTGCAGCCACGAACCAAAGTTGGCTGCAAAACAGATTGTCCATCCCTGTGCTAGGGTGTAACAATACAGGAAAGGCTTGGTTAAGCGACTGGGCCAGATGTGCTCCGACCCCAACATACAACTCTGGCAGATTCATTCATCCGCTGCAAAGGGGCAGGGGAGGAATTTGCAGGCGCCGTGGCAGGCCAGCGAACAGGGCTGCCACCTCCCAAGCCCCCCCACAGGGAAGCATAATGCGGATGAAAAGGCACATAATGCGGGCGGAGGGACTATCTAGAGGTGGAGCTGGCTGGTGGCATAGCTCATTGCTAGGCTTCCAGAGGCGATGGTAAATCAGAGCCACCCACTGGCAGCCCTAACTTCCCCCAGGGATTGCGATCCATTTCAAGTATGCAGCTGACTTGTCTTTCTGGAAGTGTTTGGAATGTACCCTACCTGTGTGGTTACACGTAGAGGTGACAGGAAGCGGGCGCCCTGGTGCGCAGCTCCAGCAAGACCCAGCTGAGCTGTGACAAAAGCCAGCGGGAAGCTATTTAAAGAGCTGGCAGGCCCTGGGTTGCGATAAGATGGTACCAATAAGAAACTGTAAGTTCCTTTCACTGCTGGTTATACACTGGCGCTGCCCTTTGAAAAACTGGCAAACGCTGAGATTCAGTCCAAAGCGCATTTCTGTAAACTGGAACTTAACATCCAAATTTGGCCCAAGGATCAGCAACTTTTTAAGCCCTTTCACATGGTTTAGTAACCCGCCAAAGGTCGCGTCGTTTACAATGGAAATAGCGAGAAAGTGCTACAGATGTTATTCATTAGTGGGACATCACTCACATTTCATCTTAAACCAGCAGCATGCAGATTTTTTTAATTACAATGACTAACGGCGCATCTGCTGTGCTTAGTGTGTTTTGCAAGTAGGCAGTGTTTTAACTATGGTTTTGGATTTTATTTACTTTCCTAAGTTGGACTGTTGGAGAAGGCAACTGTCGTCGTAACCTGCGAATAGATCAAAGGGACAGAGAAGGTCTCCCTGTATTATGAGAAACATGTGTGTCGACATCTGTAGCTGGTAAGCAAAATGTTATGGTTCCCCGTCTTCGCTCAAATTACTCCTTCTCTATGATAATATTTCTCTACCCTAACTCCATACCACATAATTGCTGTAAATTTCAGAGCATGCACCATGTAGTCCTATTTTTAAAAAAGATGTTGTCTCCCTTGTTCCTCCCGACCAACTTTCATTCTTTACAGCAATGTTCTCCTCTTTGAAAATTACTTGCATATGCTGCAGCTTGTATTATGCTTATTGACTAATGGCCATGCTGCAGGAAGCTTAGTTTTTGTTTTCTCTTTGGTCAGATTGTGGATTGCTGGTTTCGGCTTGAAGATCAAGCTAACAGTGCAGAAACCTGGCCACCACAAGGTTGGCTAGGACAGTGGATTCTATGAAAAGAGTTGTTTTTATAAAACATCAACAAAAAAATCTATGAATAACAACATCAAAACCAGAGATGTAAAATGCCTGTTGTGTGATCTTAACCCTGGCTAGTATCTTTCCCCTGACTATTCCCTATAGGATAGCCTCAGTACTTTGTCCTCAAGTTTTCCACCAAGTTTGTCTTTTGCACTTTTTCCGATGTTGCTGCCACAGCTCAAAAACTAAGCCGTGTCAGGCTGGGTCACTATTTTGCATGGGAGACCTCCACGGAACAATTCAGTGATGCAGGAACTAGTAGGTAGCCCCCTTCTCTGCAACCCATTGTTGAACCAATCCCTGCCTGAAATTAAAAGGCACTAGGCCACCAGAGCGGCTTGCTGTCAGATGAGATGTGAAACGAAGGCCTAATGGTCCCTGGGCATAATTAATGTATTTAAGTGGGTGGCAGCATAGGTTTGGTTACTTTGAAAAGTTCTGTGGCACCTTAAAAACACACACATTGATTTGGACATAAGCTCTCGTGGGTAAAACCGACTTCATCAGATGACTGGAGAGGAAATCACAGAGGTTGGGAGATAGAGATGTCTGATTTGTGTCCATTATATATATATGCTAGTACATCAGGAAAGGTAACATACAAAAACTGGTAGGAGAACACTTTAATCTCATGGACAGATTTCAAAGTAGCCATCCTTTTGCCAAAAAACTTCCAGACCCGACTCTCAAGAGAAACAGCAGAGCTGCAATTCATTTGCAAATTTAACACCATCAAAGTAGGACTGCATAAGGACTAAGAATGGTTCTCTCGCGACAAAGGCAATTTTCCCTTTTTGGTATTCACCCCTTCCCATCAACTGCTGGGAGTTAACCACTTCCACCCTGACTGAATTGGCCTTGTTAACACTGGTCCAACACTTGTTAAGCAACTCTCCTTAAGAACTTAATATAAGAACATAAGAATGGCCATATTGGCTCAGACCAAAGGTCCATCTAGCCCAGTAGCCTGTTTGAGGACAGTGGCCAGTGCCAGACTGGTGGACCAAAGACAGTGATCAAGCGATTTGTCTCGTGCCATCCATCTCCAGTTTCTGACAAACAGAGTCCAGGGACACCATTTCTATCCCCTGGCTAATAGCCTTTTATGGACCATGAAATTAGCTAGTTTCTCTTTAAACTCTGTTATTGTCCTAGCCTTCACAGCCTCCTCTGGCAAGGAGTTCCACAGGTTGACTAATAAAAGAAAGTTCTTCTTCAAACAGCGCATTGTTTTAAACCTGCTACTCATTAGTTTCATTTGGTGTCCTCTAGTTCTATTATGGGAACTAATGAATAACTTTTCTTTATTCACCCTCTCCACACCACTCATGATTTTATATATATCCTTCCTTTTGATATGCTAGTATATATCCCTACCTCTGTGATTTCCGCTCCATGCATCTGATGAAGTGGGTTTTGCTCACAAAAGCTGATGCCCAAGTGAATCTGTTAGTCTCTAAAATGCCACCGGACTCCTCATCATTTTTAGAGATACAGACACACACCGCTCCCCCTCTGAGACTTCGGCTACTTTGTGAGTCCCGAACTTTTGATGTTTTAATGTTTTTAAGGACATGTTTAATGCTCCTCTGGGAATGCACTCCGCAGTTGCCTAAACACCTTCCACTGTAATCCCATGTTTCCTTTGAGTTGAAATTTTCCAGGCTTGGTGTCTGCACCAGGTTGAGGGTTTTTTTTTCTGTTTGGATTGGAAAGACTGAGCAAGACGGGTTCAGCTGCTTGAAACACAGAGTTTTGCCAATGTTAACGTGTTTCAGATGGGTTTTGTTTAACAGCTTTAGCAGTGCCATGGTTAAGAGATGGCACTTGAAATTTGTTCGGGGGAACCGTTTGGGGATCCGAAAGGTGTCTTATGCTGACTGCACGCAAAACCCGCCAGATTTAAGCCAATGTATACTACAGAAGGAGAAAACAGGCCGATACCTGTTCGATTCTTGCTCTTCATCTGTGAAAATCCTGCACACGCTCTGCCTACACCATAACAGGCAGAATGATACACATGGGCAAGATGGAGCTGTGTTCAGACGGGAGACAGACAACATGGCTCTTCCTTGAGGGAAAGCAGCACATCAAAATATCTTTTGGCCTAGTTCTAATGGGCTGGAAGCCCAGACACGGTGCCTTCGAGTCTCCCCTCTTCCACTGTGTAAAATAAAGAATTCTGTGAACTTCCCAACCTTCTATGACTGAACAAGTCTTAAGGACATGGGCAAGTTTCCTTCCCCATCCATCTCCGTAAGCGGATTTCCAACAACACACCCTGTTTATAAACTCTCAGATTTACCCTTGTCTATAAAAAGACACTTGGGGCTGCCCAGTTTTTTGCCGGGCAAACCCATGTCTCCTCTCCGGAGCCATACTGTGGCTAAGAAAAAATCTGTCTGCGTGCATGGCTACAGGAAAATCTGGCTTCCTCCGAACACTTCTTAAATTCCAAACTCTCTTCCATTTTCAGAGAGTATAAAAGAGGGTTTCCCTCTGCCACAAAGTAGCTGCTCTCTGAGAACAGAACAGGCCCAACGCAGCCCATGAAAGAGGACTGGGCTAAGCCGGCACCTATAAAAGGCCACCAGAGGACAGGAAAGAGGCGATGGAAGGGAGTGAGGGGAGAGGCTGTCCCTGGGGAAGGGAAGCCAGGGTGGAGTGAAGCTGGCTGCATGAAGGGACCGGTGTTCCCGGGAGCAGCCCAGGGACGACAGCTCGGGGAAGGGACTGGAGCTCACTAGGACTGGGAGCTGCCCGGAGCAGGTGTGCTGGAGAGCCTAGGAGAGGCGGCTCGGAAGCCGGAGAGAAAAGGATCGAGCTGCAAGACCGTTTGGTGCGGCTCTGTGAAGAGAAAACCCCTTTTTGGAGGCACCTGGGCATGGAAGCGAGTGTTTGGAGGCTCGGCAGAAGCCCTGTCCTGGGCCTCCCATTTTTCACCTTTAAGGAGATGAAGAGGCAGCTGCACAATATCGTAGCTGGGTTTTCCAAAGGAGAGATCCAACACGCTCTGCCTTCCGCACCAGCATATTTCTTCCCTCCAGGCAGCTACTGTCTTATGCATCCTCCGGCGGGACATGCTGCAGACCACATCCTGAAAAAGAAACAGACCAATAACATTAAACCCGGACGAGTAACATTTCCCTCTGCTCAAAACCATGGGGAAAGGCTTCAAAAGGAGCAGCAGAGAGCAGAGACGCGAGGCGACGTTCAGATCGATGAACCCGGGTAGAACTTTGATATGGCGCAGGGGGACAGAGGACAGGGTAGCCCAGAACAAGAAAGGAAAATGTAGTTAGAGAATGAAGCCCTTTCAAATCATGGTAAAATTCCTACGGACTCCAGGGGCAAGAGCGTAGCTCAATCAAACGAGGAGGCAGCATGAAGGAGGCAGAGGAATTACTTAGGATGGTAAATGGGTTTCAAGCAAGAATGAACATAAGAATGGCCAGATGGGGTCAGACCGATGGTCCATCATCCAGCCCAGCATCCTGTCTGCCAACAGTGGCCAATGCCAGATGCCCCAGAGGGAGAATGCCTGGATGAGACCAAAGCGAAGGAAAACGAAGCTCAGAAAGACACCACAGTCTGTTGGACTGGGGAACTGACTCTGGATGGGCATCATTTGGCGTATTTATAATGGGATTGGACCACGCATTTGGGGAACGGCTGCTAGCACCACATAGTGTGACGTAGCAGGCAATGGTAGTACTATAATGACAGACTGCTTTCAGTTGCCTATCGCTTTCCCTAACTTGAACCATCGGGGCTGAGATTTTACATGCCTCGGGTTGACACAATGTGACGATTTTCAACAGAAATGGGTCAGCCATTCCTGGAAGCGAGGCGTGGGGAAAACCCGTTGTTTTGCCCATATGAAAAACATTCTGGGGGCCTTTTCTTAGAGAAGAGGTGTGAAACTGGCCAGGGGAGGAACCTTTGAATCAGGGCTGTGCCTTTCCTGTCCCTGTGTAAATCCAGAGGTGTGAAACTGGCCAGGGGAAGAGCCTTAGGGACAGGAAAGGCACAGCCCTGATTCAGTGTAAATCTGCCTCCGTTTAGCCACTGAATAAAGGCAGCCTGCAAATGCCCAGAGATGGTTTGGATCTTTGCTGCTCAAAACTCTCAAGATTCCATCGGCACCGAGCACGCTCCATCCATGTGCGGAATAAACTGTGTTATTGTTGGGATATGTAAAATAAATAGGCGGTCTGGTCTGGCTATCCACTGGTGGTGAAGGAGTTCAGCCACCCTAGGCATAATCTTTGAACATGTTTTTTCCCTTTGTTTCCGCAGTCTGGAGAGAGAGATTAAGAGGCCGGCCAAAACAGGTATTTTCCTTCTTGATGTATAAACATGCTCTTTGCCTTCGTTTTTGTAGCCTAGAAAAATAGATACACATGCAGTTGCTCTTCTTGGTTGTGTCTTTTACTTACCATCACTGGCTCTGTATATGATTTTTTAGGGTTGCATCACTTGTAATCTCTGTAACCTATTGATTTGATTTACTTACCTTCACTGGCTCTGTATATGATTTTTTAGAGTTGCATCTCTTGTAATCTCTGTCACCTATTGATTTGGAAAGTTTGCAG